AAACTACCCCCAACAACATTTAAACAAAATTCGAACATGGTGAAAACATGGTCCCCTGACTGTGTTTTGACAATGTCTGAAGATTCCCCCTGCAGAGGGCCAGGACCGACTCAAGCCTAGCACAGCCGTGCCCCTTTGAACAGGGCGTGAGAGGCCGTGGCCTCAACAAGCCAAGCCGATGCGCAAGAATCACCAAGGACCTGCAGCTGGAGTGCCAGGATGGGATGAGAGCCCTACAGGGGAAGGCGAACCATACAGTCATCGGCCTGACCAAAGGAACGACAAATAAGGAACGAAGCCCACGAAGTCCGAAAGAACGGCCGAGCCCCTCTCTAGCGCCAGAAAGATACCGATACGCATGGAAACCTAAGGAACGACCGAGCCCCTTTTGAAAAGGGAGTGTGCCTGATTCAAGCCGCTCACTGTACACGCACCTCTCGTGTGAACCTCTTTTGGACCCCCTCGGGGGCAACTTGGAGGGCACTTGGGGGCGCCTGTCGGGCCAATTTTCTGCAATTCCTCGGCCCTCCAATCGGGGACCTGCTGACCCGGGTCAATCCAGACCCGGGTCAATCAGGCCTTGCAGAATCCTGCAAGATCCTGCAAGATCCTGCACCCAAACCCGGGTCAGTGCAAAGGATCCTGCAAGATCCTGCAGGATCCTGCACCCAAACCCGGGTCAATGCGACCGTGGCCCTGCAGGATCCTGCAAGATCGGGCGCTCTGGCTGACCCCCGTTTGCACTGACCCCCGTCTCAAGACTTCCGACTTCCTGTCCCCCCCCCCCGCTGCCGTGAGGAACAGCAGTAGGGCGAGGGGCCGGCTCAGCTCCAGGGGGAAATCCGGCGAGGCGGGCATCGGCGATGCACTGCCGATAGATCGGCGACGGGCTCCCCATAGCAAATCCGCACACGCCTGGGCGGGGTGGGCAATCGGGCCCACGTCGGCGATGAATGGGCGATTGGGGGGCGATGTATGGTGGCGGCGCGCACGAGGGGCTGGAGGGAGGGGGGGGAGGGCTTCTTAGAAGGAGGTTGCTCCTTAGAGGGCGCCGGCCCTACTCTACAGAATGAGGCCCCGCGCCTTCTAAGAGCTGGGTGCTTCTAAGAGCCCTCCCCCTTCCCCCACCCCCCTTCTGCGCGTGGCTGCGCATGCTCAGTGCACCGAAACAGCCGCCGAGGTCCGACGAGAGCGCCCGAAAAAAATCGGAATCTCGAGCGAGGCGTTCCTCTCTGAGACTGGTTTCCCCCTCTGGCCTCCGGCCCGGGCGTTTTCTGCCATCCCCACCACCTCGACGTTGATCCTCATTATGCCTCCCCTCGCCCCACATGGGAACAACAAACGATGACATACATCAATGATGGGGCCGAACGGTCGTTCACTGGTCCCGGGTGCGTGCTGAAGTGTAAATTCCGCGGTGCGGTTCTCGTTTGTTGTTGTTTGTTGTTATGTATTGTTGTTGTTTGTTGTCGTCGTCCCACCCCCGCGACCCACCCCGCGACCCACCCTCGACCCACCCGCGACCCACCCGCGACCCACCCCGCTACCCACCCGCGACCCACCCCGCGACCCACCCCGCGACCCACCCGCGACCCACCCGCGACCCACCCGCGACCCACCCCGCGACCCACCCCGCGACCCACCCCGCGACCCTCCCGCGGCCCACCCCGCGACCCACCCGCGACCCACCCGCGACCCACCCGCGACCCACCCGCGACCCACCCGCGACCCACCCCGCGACCCACCCGCGACCCACCTTCGACCCAAACCACGTTCAAGGTACAAACCACCATTTTCGGCGCCTGCGGCGGGTTTTTTTTGCATTCCTTCCAGGTGGAGAGCCCGCGACCCACCCCGTGACCAACTCGCGACCAACCCGCGACCCAAACCACGTTCAGGGTACAAACCATATTTTTCGGCGCCTGCGGCGGGCATCCTTTGCATTCGCTTCAGGTGGAGAGCCCGCGGCCCACCCGCGACCACGTTCAGGGTACAAACCACATTGTTCGGCGCCCGCGGCGGGCATCTTTTGCATTCGCTAGCGGTGGAGAACCCGCGGCCCACCCGCGACCCAAACCACGTTCAGTGTACAAACCAATTTTTTGGGCGCCTGCGGCGGGCTGTTTTTGCATTCCTTCCAGGTGGAGGTGGAGAGCCCGCGACCCACCCGCGACCTAAACCACGTTCACTGAACAAACCAATTCCGCACAAACGCGGCGGCTGATTTTCGCATGCCGTCTGAGCCCGCAAGGACCTCTTCAAGCCCCGCGCATCCACGCCAGCCAGCCCAGCAACTTTGCCCTGGCGAGTTGCCTTGATCAGAGAAGGCGGGAAGCATAAAGTGGAAAAAAGGACTGCGTTGCAGTTATCTTGGGAAAGGAGGGGGAGGCACGAGGCGTAAACAGGGGGCGAGGGGAACGCGGCAGAAGAGAGGATGTAAGGATAATGTGGAGAGAGAAAAGGAGGAGGAGCAGGAGGGCGAGGAGAGGGAGGAGGGGGAGGAGGGGAAGGAGGAGGACGAGGAGGGGGAGGAGGGGGAGGATGATGATGGTGGACGACAATGGGAGGACGATGATGGAGGCCGATGAGGGGGAGGACGACAATGGGAGGACCATGATGAAAAGACGAGGGGGGGAGAGGGAGGACGAGGAAGAGGAGGAGGAGGAGGAGGAGGAGGAGGACGAGGTGGAGGAGGAGGATGACGATGACGATGAGGACGAGGACGAGGACGAGGACGAGGAAGAGGAGGAGGAGGAGGAGGAGGAGGAGGAGGAGGAGGAGGAGGAGGAGGAGGAGGAGAGCGCCATCGACAGGGAAGGTGGGGGCCACGAGGTCCGCCGGCTCGACGACGCCCGCGTCGCCCGCGCCCGCCCCCTCACTCTTATCCGCAATGGCGGGGTGCTACGTATCAAAACTCTGAGGTCTCCGCGGATTCCTCGGATCGGCGCTGGGTCCCACTCTGGCGCGCTCCGCGCGCCAAAGAGGGGTTCAGCGCGGTTCCGAGAAATCCGCGCGGACCTCACAATTGTGCATGTGTTTGTCATTGTTTGTTTCCCGACCCCCCGTTGCCGCCTTCTGTTGCAAACGCATGGGGGTCGCCTCAGACCATCTTGCTCGTTCCCGGGAATTCGACGCCAAGTCGGCGCCATCTCACTGCCTAACTAACAGGCGCCGATTGACGCGTGCACTCTCAAGACGGGACGCACGAGGACGCGCCAGTGGCCCGTGCCCGCCTCGGAGGGGCGCGCCCAGCCCGAACATGTGGCATCACCATCCTGCAGCAGATCTTCTCCCCAGCGGTATGGCCAGGCAGCGCCCGCCACGCAGCTCATACTAGAGGGCTTCTCGGCGCGCGCGTCGGCCCGGCCCTAGGGGGGGGGGGGAGCGACGCGCACACAGAGCCAGTACGTTGGGGCGACGCCGATCCCTCCACGACCCAGGTCAGTTGGCGCGCTTCGGGGGGCGTCGTGCTCGGGCCGTCTGGGGGCCGGCGCGGGGCTCCCTTCGGGCCGTCTTGGGGCTCGGCTGGGCCGTGGAGCGGGTGGGTAGAAACCTTGGGGCGGGCAAGACAGCGCCCCGCCCGACCCCCCCCCCCAGGGCCTCTGAGGGGACAGCCGCGGATGGGACGAAAGGAGGGTAGCGCGGAGGGCCGTCGAATAAACTTGGCTTCGCGCAGAGAGCCAGCAACCGAAGGCGCCGCCTCGGCCCAAGTTTGTTCGAGGACCAGGACCAAAGGCGCCGGCATGCCTGGCCATGCTTCAGGTGAAGCTGCCAGTAGCGGGACTCATGGGATAGGTTGGAAGGGCAGGGAAGGAGCAGAGGGAAGGATGCGGGAAGCGGGGGCAGGGGGGAGGAGGCCAGTGGGAGCGCCCTGAGCCCTGACAGCGCACGCGTCTCCAGATCGTTGTGGGCTCGGTCCTCCTCCTACGCCTCCTCCTTCCCCTTCCATAGCGCGCCTGCCACAACTGCTAGCACCACGACCACTATGTCGATACAACGGCAACAGCAACTACTACGGCAACGATCACTAACACTACCACAACCATTACCACTGCCACTCTCACTCGCACTGCCATGCAAAACGACTATTTCAAACCACTCATCATCAACTAATGAAATATGATACCAGCGCTGCCCCGCTGGAAAGGGGCATCCATGTTTCAGCGCCCGACCTCCAAGACGTCGCCCGCATCCTTCGGCAATCGCACCGGCATCTAGACATCTGCGTCTGGAGACGACCTCTCGAAGGACAACACGCCTGACGCTGCACGCGTGCCAATCCAGCAAATACACCGACTGCACGAGCATAAGCGCGAACCCGTGCACTGCTCGATGCCGAGGCGGTGCGAACGCGGGTACGCGGACCAAGACGATCTTGGTGGAGTCGTTGAAGTAAACCCCAATGGAGCCGTCCGATAGGATGTACCCCACGCCGTACCTGAGGCGGAGCAACATCGCACCACCACTGCCCCTCTCCCGCATTCCCTTTCCTCCCCCCGCTAACACACGATACTCCCTCGCCACTCTCTCCCCCCCCTCCCCCCCCCCCTCCCTTGACACACTCCCGCCTGTCCACCTGTCTCTCCCCCTCCACGTCTCCCCTCCCCCCCTCTCCCCCAGACCCTCCCCATCTCCCCACAGTGCACACTGCCTGCCCCTCCTCGGACATCTGGACTCGCGACTTATACGCGACGTGGCCCCCCAAAGTCAGGACTCCTTCCTTGGGGGCCGGCTTCGCATCCCGAACACAGCTGCTTGCCTTGACGGCACCATGGGTACGGCATGGGACCCCGGAAGCCGAGAGCTGCGACAGACAGGCCTCCCGTGATGTTTGCGCACGGCGCGAAGACGACAGGGCACACACCCTCCAAGCTGGTCGGTTCCCTGCAGCGGAAGGGCGTAAGAGAGGACGCCTGACGTGGACTGCGCTTGAGAAGCAGCGTTGTGCTAGCAATTCCTGCCACCGGCGAAGAGGAAGAACTCCATATTGAGTTCACGTGTGAACATTCGCTTCGAGCGCCTCGTGCAGCGCAAGACCATGCTCGAAGGTGCAACTTCTTGCCGCGACCTTGCCTGGCTAACAACTGGGTAGGACACCGTCTAAGACAAGAGGGAGGAGTGGATGCGGGGAGGGGGTCAAGAGAGGCGAGGCGGGAAGCAAAAGCTAGACGCTTCCGACTTCCCGAGACCGAGGGGGGGGGCTGGGGAAGCACTTGGAGGAGTAGTCCACCCACTTGGTAACCCAGAGCTCGGGCTGGTGTGCCATGCCAGCCTCGCGCGGCGAGGGGCGGGGAAGGTAAGGGGGGGAAGGGGGAGGAGGACGAGGAGGAGGAGGAGGAGCAAGGGGAGAGGGAGGATAATGAAGACTTTTTGTCAGTGAGGAGAGGAAGCGCCGCTTCGACGAGCAGCGGGAGGCCCGGATGGGGTGAGCCAGTCCCGCCGCGAACGCGAAACACAAGGAATAGATCTTCGGACTCCCTCAAATGCCAGTAGCTGACCACGTTTGAAACACATTAAGAAACCCCCGCCACTGCCAGACGGGGTACATGTTTGGACTATAACAGGGACTCCCACCAATGCCAGGAGATGAACATGTCTGAAGTATACCAAAAAAGCACCCATGAAACCGGGAGGCGAACATGTTTGACATATACCAAACGGACCCAACCAATTCTGGTAGGTGAACCTGTTCGGCAAATCAAAAAAACACCAATAATATAAACTTCACTCTCAAGGCTCCCACCAATGCAAGTAGCCGACCACGTTTCAAATGGACCTGAGACCCCGCAGATGCCAGTCGGTGAACCTGTTCGACCTAGACACACGACGCCCACCAATGCACGAAGGCGAACATGTTTGACAACTATATCAGGCAAGCTCGGCAATCACAGCCATCCCGCTGGCCATCCCATACCATTGAGGTGTGCTTGAAGGGGTATTATCATATTCGCGAAGATGAAGGGCCTTAGCGAACTCCTTTGCGTCATCAAGAAAGACGTCCAGCCAGAACAGAGAATCGGAGCGCACTGGCGTGATCATGCAAACCCGCCCCACGTGTGATCCTCCGAGAAGTGTGGCAATTCTTCCAATGAACAAGGGGAAGTGCCAGGTATAGTGTGAACGCACACTTGCAATGAGCTCGTCAATATCGGATCCTCCTTGGGCCAGACAGTTTCACGCACCATCGTCAGAACGCCAACAGGGGGAAGCGCCTCACGGACCACCTGCTCGGCATGTTGAGCGGAAGGTTCGGCCTTGTGGTGGGCAGCGTCGCCAACACGTGGGGGAAGAACCGCACGAATGTCACTGCAGAGCCGCTCAAAGACTCCATGCACCTCGGTGACTCAACAGGCCTGACGGTGCACACTGGCGGCACCGCAAAAAGAAATACATCATGAAACTCCGTATTGCGAAGACGTGCAGGCAGCTGGTCAGCGACACGATCTGAAACAGGAACAGGGCCAGACTCTCCCATGCGCCACTGCAATCAGCACATCTGCAATAGCCCGAGATACGCCACCTCATCGCGCGCTACTCCGAAACAGCCTTCCAGAACCTCGCGACAGCCTGGCCACGGAGAGGCTCAGGCAGATACCCCATCAGGCTCCAGGTCACGGACTCCGCCCCCAGGGAGAAATGTTGAAAAGAACACCGCTGCTTTCATCCCACAGAGCTGGAGGCCCCACCGGCCGAGCGACTGCCTCATCATCACATTCACTCACTCTCTCCCAACGGAAGTGTCTGAGCGACAACGGAGGCGCCCTCAAAATGGTGTTCAACCGTATCTGACCAGTGATGCGAGAGAAAACGACCCCATTCGCCCTCCACGCGAACCTCGCCTCTCAATGGCGGCGACGAGAACACGAGCGCACCAGATTCCCCCATCAGCTGAAACGCTATACATGCGTGCCGCCATGCACCACGTATCAGAAGAAACGAGGGAACAAGGACAACATCAGCCTGGCCCAGAAGATCAGGAACGAGGCCGGGACGAAAGATAGACACCCCTCCCATCAAAATGAAACTTCGGGATGCTAAGGAGTGGTCCATCAGGCATCAAGCGACCGCCATATCATGGCGGCGAGATACCTTTAAGGAGAAGGCAGCCACCGCCATCACGGTGGACACCCTCCGCACTCAACGCGTCGTTCCCGCCTGCCCAGGGGTCACCGTGCTCAGGCTGCTCACGATGGGGCCGCCGTGCACCAGTGCCGCCATCACGCCGACAATCACCGCCTTGTTCACCGTCTTCATCGCCGCCAGGAAGGGGGTCACGAGGTTCACTGGGGGCGCCACCGCCAGCCTGAGCAGGCTTCACTATGAACTTGACCTCCATGTGAAGATCGGAGTGGCGATGCCCCCTGTCCGCCACGTTGAAGGTCTGCGTGGCCTCAAGAAGCCACTTGAGCGTCGCCGCGCTGAAAGCTTGGAATTGCGCGGGGAAACCACCTCTGGATAGCAGTGCACCGTGACCACTTGATGCAGCAGCCGAGGATGTGCGGCGGAGGTGACAACCAGCTTGACGCCCTGCTCCAATAAACCCTGGAAGTACATGATGCGGGCCTGCACCATCATCGCAACAGCGCCTGCTGGAAGAGATGGGTGACGCACAGGCGCAGAGAAGCCCACTGCAAAGCAAATGCTTGTGCCAAAATAGGCTAGGAGGACGAGGAGGAGGAGGAGGGGGAGGAAGAAGAATGAGGAGGAGGAGAAGGAGTGAGAGGGGGAGGAAGAGGGGGGAAGGAGGAGGAGGGGGGAAACAGGGGAAGGAGAAAAGTAAGGGGACTGCCCCCCCGTCTAAGGGCAGGGGGGGATGGAGTGGAGGGAGGCAAGTGGGGGGGAGGGGGAGGAGGATGAGGGGAGGGGGATAAGAAGAAGAGGAAGGAAGAGATGAGCCAGCAGGAGGGGGAAAGGGAGGGGGAGGGGGAAAAGGGAAGAGGGAGGAGGGAAGGCGGCTCGAGGGAATGACGGAAAAGCTATCTTCCCGGATTGAGGGGCCCTTGTACCAGATAGAGCCAACTCAGGCCCAGGACTACGGCGGAGCAAGCGTGATTAAGCAAGAACGATGCTGAGTCTAACCTCCCAGGTGTGACAGGCAAGGGGAAGGAGGGGCAATGGGGGAATGTTGGCGCCAAATCTAGGTTGCGCAGAAGCGCAGCATGCGATGGGCTCGAGTCTGGGTGTAGGATTTGACCACACTGCGTCTCATCTGAAATCGCCACATGTGACTGGCCTCCGATGTAGATTGGTGACTCCTTCCTTCTAAAAGAATGACGGCGCAGGTAACCTTCTACCCTGGATAGAAATAGAGAGAGAGCGTGATCCACCGCCGCTTTACTATGGAAAATTGCCTCCAGATGTCCCCTCCGGATGGCCGGGGCCCGCCCCCCCCCTCCGAAAATCCCCCCCCCCCCCCCCCCCGCCTGCTGGAACCCCTCCCCCCCCCTCCTCCCCCGTCAAAACCCTCCCCCCTCCCCTAACCCCTCCCCCCCCCCCCCTCCCCCTCGAAACCGGAGGGGGTCCACTACCGGTTCGAACCCCTCCCCCCCCCCCCCCTCCCCTCCGGATCCGGAAAACCGGGGGGGGGTCACTACCGGTTCGAGCCCCCCCCCCCCCCCCTCGAAAAAAACCGGAGGGGGAATCACTACCCACTACCGCCGGTTCGAAAACCCTCCCCCCCACCACCCCCCACTCACCGCCAGCAAACGACGACTCCCGGTCCCTACCACCGTCCGCATCACATCCTCCACTGTTGTTCCCAGCACCACTGTCCTCACCACCGCTGTCCTCACTGTGTCCCCACCAGTGCCCCCACCACTGTCGCACTGTCCCCACTGTCCCCACCACTGTTCCCACCACGGTTCCACTCTCCCCACTGTCTCCACGGCCCCAACCACTGCCCGACTATCCCCACTGTCCCCACTGTCCCACTGACCCCTGCGCTGTCCCACTGAGCTGTCCCACTGTTCCCACCACTGTCCCCACTGTCCCCACCACTGTCCCCACTGTACCTCTGTCCCATTGTCCCACCGCCGTCCTCGCCACCGCCTTCACCACTGTCCCCACTACCATTGTACCCTCCACTGTCCCATTGTTTCCACCTCATTCCCACTGTGCCCACACCACTGTCCCCACCACCACCGTCCCCACCACTGTCCACTGTCCCCCCTGTTCCCACCATTGTCCTCACCACTGTCCCCACCACTACCGGCCCTCTACTGTCCCACTGTCCCACTGTCCCCACCACTGTCCCGCTGTCCCCTCACCACTGTCCCCACCAACACCGTCCCCACCACTGTCCGCACCCCCACTCGGTTTTCGAGGGGGGGGGGGGTTCGAACCGGTAGTGACCCCCCCCCCCCCCCCCCCTTTCATTATGACTGGGGGGGGGGGGAGGGGTTCGAACCGGTAGTGACCCCCCCGGTTTTCCGGAGGGGGGGGGGGTTCGAACCGGTAGTGACCCCCCCGGGTTTTCCGCCAGCAGCGGTAGAACACGCTCTTTCTAATATCCAAACCACGACTCCACCCCGCGCCTGCGGGGCGCAGGGATCTACAACGTCTTGAGCAGGAACGACAAACGTGAGCAAACATAAAGACCGTCTCGGGAGGAAGCCGTATTTCTGGCCACGGTGCGAGGACGTCCCGAACGGACCTCACACTCCTGAGCACGCAGCTGATGCGCTGACGCTGTATACTAGCAATCGCAATAACAGCAACTGCTCCGGCGGCGGGAGACAAGATAAAGAGACGAACGAGGGAAGGAAGGCAAAGAAGGGTGTTGTGAGCATACGCGCCGCACCCTGGAGCCACTCCCTGGTGTGTCTGGCCCCGTTCATGGCTGAGTGCGCCAAGAGCATGGGCATCAGCAGCGCGCTTTCCCTACTCGTCAACTCCAGTCTTGTCTGCAGCGCACTGCCGCATTCAACACGAAATGCATAACATTCAAAGCACAACTGAACCAAGCTTGAGGCGCGGACTGTGCTGCAAAACAGATGCTTCGAACAAGAACCAAACAAGTAAGGAGTTTGGCGGTAGAGGCGCTCAGCGGTTCCCTCGGTGGACCCGAAATCGTCCAAAACGTCTCCGAAGCGCGCCGATGAGAGGCAACGGTCGGGGGGGGACTAGCACAGGGGGGAACATCGACCTGGAATCGGCGATACATCGCCGATAGACTGGCGATGTGCCCCCGATCGCAAAACCCTAGGGTCCTTGGCGAGGTGGGGCCATCGGGCCCCTATCGGCGATACATGGGCGACAGGGGGTCGATACGTTGCCCCGGGAGCCCATCACCCCCCAGTCGTTGCCCCTGAACGAAGCCCGGCAAACAACCCAAGAAACCTGAAAATGCATCGTGCCCACCCAGCCCCCCCGAACAAACCCCACATGCGGGGCCTCGCGCGCCTCTATACAAAAACACATTCTGCATGTCAATATCCTCCCTCCCATGCTTCTGTCCAGAAGGTAGCTGGCTCTCTACGCGCGTTGTTCCTCGTCCACTGGATATAAAAAGCTGTTGCTGTCTTGCGATATCTAGCCATCCGAATGTTTTCAGGGTTTCACCATGCCGCTCCCGCAGCAGCGCGGGCATCATTGTAGGAGCGAGGGCGCTCTGTTCCCGAGGAGGGCGACGAGGACGACGAGGAGGGAGACGAGGACGACGAGGAGGGAGACGAGGACGACGAGGACGACAAGCAGGGAGCAGGGCCGTCCCCGCCTGGGTAACTCGCGGCGCCTCGCGGCTGCCAGAAGAGGGCGCCCGGGCACCGAATGCGGCCTGCCGAAGGGCACGCCCGTCTTCCCCAATCTTTTCAAGCCTGCCACGTGCGGCACCCGTCGTAACTTGCCATCCCTCCTTTTTGCTGTACCCTTCGCATTATCTCTCATCACGCTTGCTCTCTGCGGACGGATATCCTCCTCCTCACACTAAGACACCGATAATCTACTGCAACTACGGCTACCACTACGACTATGGCTACGGCTACGGCTACGGCTACGACTACGACTACTTACTGACTCACTTACTTACTTACTTACTTACTTACTTACTTACGTACTACTACTACTACTACTACTACCAATACTACTACTACTACTCCTACGCCTACTCCTACTCATACAACTACTACTACGACTACGACTACTACTTCTACTACTACTACTACTACTACTACTACTACTACTACTACTACTACTACTACTAATACTACTACTACTGCTACTGCTACTACTACCACTACCACTACCACTACCACTGCTACTACTACTACTAGTACTGCTACTACTACTACTACTACTACTACTACTACTACTACTACTACTACGACTACTACGACTACTACTACTACTACTACTACTACTACTACTACTACTACTACTACCACGACTACTGCTACCACGACCACTACTCCTACTACTGGTACTACGACCACTACAACTACAACACGAAATACTACCACTACTGCTGCTACTACTACTACTACTACTACTACGATTACTACTTCGATGATTACAACTATAACTACTAATACCACTACTACTACGACTACGACGACTACTACTACTACTACTACTACTACTACTACTGCTACTACTACTACTACTACTACTACCACGAGTATTACTACGATTAGTACATCTAATACTACGCATGCCACTACTGCAACGACTGCAGACGCTACCACTACTACGACTACTACTACTACTACTACTACTACTACTACTACTACGACCTACTACTACTACTACTACTACTACTACTACTACAACGACTGAAACTACTACTACTACTACGACTACTACGACTACTACTACTACTACTACGACTGCTGCTACTACTACGACTACTACTACTACTGATACTACTACTACTACTACTACTACTACTACTACTACTACTACTGCTACCCCGACTAGAGTGAGACTGATACTATTGCGACTCCTACTATTGCGACTCCTACTGCTACTACTAGTACTACTACTACTACTACTACTACCACTGCTACTACTACTACCACTACTACTACGACTACGACTACTACGGCTACGACTACGACCAATACGGCTACTACTACTACTACTACGACTACTGCTACTACTACTACTACTACTACTACTACTAGTACCACTAGTACTACTACTATACTACTACTACTACTACTACTACTACTACTACTCCTACTACTAACTAACTAATACTAACTACTTACTACACTACTACTACTACTAACTACTACCCTACTACTCCGACTACGACTACGACGACCTACTTACTTACTACTACTACTCTACGATGACTAGGTGTACGACCACTGATACTACAACCACCACTGCTGCTACTACTACTACTACTACGATGACTACAACCACCAATGCTACTACTACTACTACTACTACTACTACTACTACTACGACTACTACTACTACTACTACTACTACTACTACTACTACTACTACCCGGTCACAGCTACTGCGACCATTACTACGACTGCTGGCAGTGTTTCTACGACTACGCCCAGGACTACAAATACGACGACGGCGACTAGGACTGCTACAACTACTCCTAATGTTTTGCGTACGACTACTACCACGATGGCCACCACAACCACTACTACTACTACTACGACGACGACGACCACTGCTACGAGCACGACGACGACGACCTCTACTACTACCACTACTCCGCCTACTACTTCTACAACAACTAGACTACTACTACTACTACTACTACTACTACTACTACTACTAACCCTACTGAAACTATCAGACTGGAATTGATACGGCCACGGGTACTACTGCGACTACTACGACGATTGCTACGACTACTGATACTACTGCTACTACTACTACTGCTACTACTACTACTCCTGCTACGACCACTACTACGACGACCACTACTACAACCATTACGACTACTAGCACTACTACTACTACTACTACTACTACTACTACTACTAATACGACTACTACGACTACTACTACTACTACTACTACTACTACGACTACTACTACTACTACTACCACTACTACTACTACAACTTCTACTACTACTACTACTACTACTACTACTACTACTATTACCACTACTACTACTCGAACTACTGCTACTACTACTACGACTACTACTACTACTACGACTACTACTACTACATCTACTAGTGCTCCTACCACAGCTACCACACATACTATTACTGCTACTACTGATACCACGACTACTACTACTACTACTACTACTACTACTGCTACTACTACTACTACCACTACTACTATTACTACCGCGAATTTCAACACGACGCGTGCATCTATTACGACCACGACAACGACGACGACGACGACTACTACCACTACTACTACTACTACTACCACTACTACTACTACTACTCCTACTACTACTATTCCTACTACTACCACGACTACGACGACGACGACTACTACGACTAATACGACTACTACGACTACTACTACTACTACTACTACTACTACTACTACTACTACTACTACTGCCCCTACCCCTACCACTACTACTACGACTGCTACGACTACTACGACTACTACGGCTACTACGACTACTACGGCTACTACGACCACGACTACTACTACTACTACTACTACTACTACTACTACTACTACGACTACTACTACTACTACTACTACGACTACTACTACGACTACTACTACTACTTCTACTACTACTACTACTACTACTACTACTACTACTACTGATACTACTACAACTACTACTACTACTGCTACTACTACAACTACTACTCCTACTACCACTACTACTACTACGACGACGACTACGACTACGACTACGACTGCTCCTCCTCCTCCTCCTCCTCCTCCTCCTCCTCCTACTACTACTACTGCTACTACTACTACTACTACTATTAATACTACTACCACTGCGGCTGCTATCACGATTTGTACAAGCACAAATAGTTGCGAAACATCTACTTCCACTTCCACGCCTACTACTACCACTACTACGACTACTACTACTACTGCTAATACTACTACTGCTACCACTACTACGACTACGACTACGGCTATTACCACAACAGCCACTACGACTACTACTACGGCTACGACAACGAATGTCACTACTGCTAGTACTTCCACTGTCGCCACAACTACCACTACCATTTCCACCACTACGACAACTACTACTACTACTACTACTACTACAACAACTACTACTACTACTACTACTACGATTACGACCACTACTACTTCTACGGCTATAACTACGACCACTACTACTACTACTACTACTACTACTACTACTACTACTACTACTACTAGTACTACTACTACTACCACCACCGCCACCACCACCACCACCACCACTTCCACCCTTACTACTACTACCACTACCACTACCACTACCACTACCACTACTACTACTACTACTACTACTACTACTACTACTACTATTACGACGACTACTACTACTACTACTACTACTACTACGGCTACGACTACGATTACTACTACATATACTACTACTAGCACTACAGCGACTGCCACAACTAACATTCATACGACCACACATCTTGCTACTACGACTCTTACCGATACTACGGTTACTACCAAGACGACGACTCCTATTACAATTACTACTATTTCGACGAGTGCACCCCCAGCACTACCACTACTGCTACTACTACTCCCACTACTACTACTACCACCACTAATACTACTACTACTACTACTACTACTACTACTACTACCACTACCACTACCACTACTACTACTACTACTACTACTACTACTATTACTACTACTACTACTACTACTACTACTGCGAATGCGACCACTACTACTACTACTACTACTACTACGACTACGACTGAGACTACGACTACGACTACTACCACTACTACTACTACTACTACTACTACTACTACTGCGAGTACTACTACTACTACTACTACTACTACTACGACTACTACTACTACACTACTACTAATATTACTACTAACTACTACTACTACTAAGAACTACTACTACTACTACTACTACTACGACTCGACACTATTATTACTACTAGCTACTACTACTACTAACTACTACTACTACGACTAAATTACTACTACTACGACTCTACTACTACCACTACTACTAAACTACTAATACTACCACTAACCAATACTCACTACTACTACTACTACTACGCCTATTACCACTACTAACTACTACTACTACTACTAACTACTACTACCTACTACTACGACTATTACTAACCACTACTACTACTACACTACTACTACTACTACTACTACTACTACTACAACTACTACTACTACTACCACTACTACTACTACTACTACTACTACTACTACTACTACTACTACTACTACTACTACTACTACTACTACTAATACTACTACTATTACTACTTCTACTACTACTACTACTACTACTACTACTACTACTACTACTACTACTACTACTACTACTACTACTACGACTACGACCCTACCAGTAATACTACGACTGCTCCTACGACTACTACCACTACTACTACTTTAATTACTAATACCACCGCTACTACTGCTACGAGTTCCGTTGCTATGTCCATTACTGTTGCTATTGCCACCACTACCACTACTGCTGCTGCTGGCGAGTAGCAATAATAGCTCTGGCCTGGGCGCGCTCCTCGGGCCGCGCGGCGCCCTCGACGGCGAGCAATCAGCCCGCGGCTTCGCCCCCGCCCGGTCTACCGCGCGGGCGTTCCCGCCGCGCTCTCCCGCGCAGTCGCCCCCCCGAACCCCG